GCTCCCCTTTTTTGGTCCGCCACTTAAACTACGCAGCAGTGACTTGCGTGAGAACTTTTTCCACTTCCCCGTCCTGTACGTTTTTTTTCCACTCTCTGTTTTGATGAGGTACAATAGGTGACTTAACTCATGAAATGTGTGTAAATGAACAAAAAACATCGAATTAATCGAACACCAGCCTAGGACTTCTAACCAATAATTAGCAACCTTCCGTTAGATTAAACTACGAACCAGGTGTGGAAAGTAATATTACTCTGCTTACTCAGAAGAAAAACGAAAATACCGCAAGTGCGAAAATTCGTGAGTAAGCTCGACTTCTACTACTGCGTCAAGTGCGTCCATGCAAATAACCGAGCATGCGAAAAAATCATAAACACGAAAACCGTCAGTAATCTTGTTCACATGAACCTGGAGTAAATCCCGCCAGTGTTGAGCTTATAACGCGGTATAATGATTAGTCGCTATATACTATTTGGATCATGGGTTTCAAAACCAAATCAAGAGTGTTCGGTCTAATTTCTACCTTTTTGATCTGTTTGAAACGCAGTTGACTAAGAAAACGAGGATTGCGCTTGATTTCGCTAATGAGGACCTCATAGGAATGTGACATTTCAGAACGTTGAGTAGCCTATGACCCGAATAGAATTAGTAGATGCAAGTGTAAGCATACCCTCTTCTGTGAATAAGTAGTATTTTGCTTGCATTGGATTACTGTGTAATGTCTAGTGACGATGGAGTCCTTCGGTGTTCATGGTTTCAATGGAATGCCCAACGTGATTCGTTCTACATAGGGATGCGATGCGAACATTTGCCTCAATTCGTGATTCGTTCTGTTGTGGTTCTGTCAAAACCTTCAAAGTAAGATAGTCGTTAGAAGTGTGCAGCAAGTTTTCCTGCTTACTTTATCATATAGTTGCCAGTTTGACTCCTGACTGTAGCCATACTTGTAAACGGATATCAAACGCCATGGAAAGCGAACGTCCGAAACGAAGGACTGTGATTAATATGGCCTTGATCAATTCTCAAGCCTTTAATAAGTTACCTTTTTAACAGTTCATTTGCATGAGCTATTGCTGGCATCTTTTTCATAGTCAGCTCAATAAAAAATTGCCACGTTTGGCCCACATACGTACTGCCCTGAAGGATATGGATTTTTTACCATTGACGGAAATTTACCCGTTCTATTTTTATTTGAGCTGTTTCCGTTTCCTTTGCCTACTTTTCGACTTCACTATGGATCATAAATGAATAACCTAGTTGTTGTATGAATATCAAAATATTATTCAGACGGTTAAGTAACGCGCCGCAAAAGGTACCTTACCATATACTCAAAAGTTAATATGGCAGCTAAATGGTGGACTTTTTCGCGGTTCCCTATAGCATCTTCGTATGTGTGGGCAAAATCCCAGTAAATTAAAACACAAACTCTTTAAGACGCTCATTCGCGGAAATTTACATATTCAAATTTAAAAACAAAAAATGGCTTTCGAGGTCGAGAGGAAGAGTGTCACTTCGTTTGCTGTTTGCCTACCCGCCGAAGAATCATAAATCACGTAATTATCAATCCATGTTACTGTCCTTTCGCAAGAGATTGTCCACTACTGGAAAGTTTGGTTGGATTCTGTCCAGTAAACTGTGATTTAAAACTTTGCTTCCTTCTTGCTCCCCGCCGCTGATGCGTGTTAGACTTTCCACAGCCATCTTCGAGCAACTATTGGCAGCTCGTGGGCGGTCCAAAGTCTTTTCATGCTTCTGCGTGATATCCATGCGCCGAAGCTAAAATGTTATTAATAATGCCAAAATGCCCATGATTATGGGTCGTGCTGTAGCCCCTTCTTGCCACTTAGCCGCCTGGGCACAGTCGCGTGTGGTAGCAAACCTGTGATACAACGCCCTCCTTATCTCTGTGTCTGTGCATTTTGA